AAAAAAGTAACATCTTTTTCCTCTTAGAGTAAAACTATTTTTTATATTACTTAAAATAAATTCAGTTGTTTACAGATCTTTGTAGTTAATGTAAAATGAATGACCATATTGAAGGGTATAAAACATGGTGAAAGCTGAAAGGTAGGAAATGAAGCCTGTATTTGGTGGAGTTTGTAAAAGCCAGAAATGAGTGGAAAATGCAAATCAAACCCAACTAAAACAAAAAAAAATCGGTTTGCCACAATATAAAAATTTACCCCCTACAGAATCCTTATTTACACCCCGCCCCTGGATACATTTACATCAGGAAAAAAATAAACTTTACATAGCTTGAGGAGTAATTATATCTCATTTCTAAAAACCCTGACAAGGTTTTTAGTGTTTTATTTTAATAACCAGTTCACGTTAAATCAAATTTTCTTTACATCATCATTATAAAGTAAAGAGTATTTTTAAATTGTTAATTACATATTGATGTTAAATATATGTATAATCAATTCTCGGTAATTATTTTTTTAACAAATAAACATAGTATGGAAACCTTTATACAAATACATTTTGTAGCAGGAAAGGTTTATTAAGTCATTTATTGGGGAAACGTTTTGTAACAGAGAACAGTTGCGTCATGAGTCATTTATGGAGAAAACGTTTTTCGGGGAGATGATTTCTGTCGGGAACCATTATGTCGTTAAACGTTTAGGGGGAAATATTTTGTTATAAGTGCAACAGAAAATATTATAAACTATGGATACTTACAGATCAGGACGGTTTTCCGCTAGACTTGAATACTGGAAGTTCCCACCAATCACCAGATGGTACTTGATGAGAAATATCAAGAGGACAGCCTTCATCGTTCTTCTGAAATAGTAAAGTTGTTTAAAATGGATGATGAAGGCTCATAATATTCGTGACAACTTTTGGCCTTTACACCTTGCACTTTTTCATGAAATTTTCGCATTTCTAATTTCACGAAAATTTCGCGAAACAGATTGAAGCCAAATTTTTGCACTTTTTGCGAGCAAACAAAATGCAAAAAAATGCAAAAAATTTTGCGCAATTTTTTTTTTTCGCTGGAAACCCTAGTTCAGAGGCACTGGACCCATACATAATTGGTTCAGTGCCCATTTTATCAAAGACATTTATAAGAATTTTTTAAATAAAAAAAATTGAAATATTTATTCCATTTGAAGTATGGGAAATAGCTGTACTTTTAGCAGGATAGACACCTGGGTACTTATTATTACTTTAGTAATAGTTATTACAAGACTTTCAAGTCTATGGTCAAAAGTATTTAATTTGGATCCCAATCAGGATTTAAATATTCAGTTTAAATTAAGTTTTTAAGTATGCTTATCCCTTCTCCTGTTCCCATAAGGGCCTTACCCAGCCTTGGAAAATTATTTTTACAGTACTTCTGCCCAAACATGATTTCCAAAGTTTTTCAAGTTTAAAAAAAAAAAAATTTATTTTAATAAATAATACCCAATTTGTTTTATAAAAATTTCAGGTGAATTAAATTCTAACTGTCCGAGTCCTCTTTGCTGCACCAGCTTTTATACAGTTTCCGATCCTGTCTCCATGTTCACTCAATAGCAGTATATACCTGGATACCTAGATACATGGATACATGTAGACACAGAACCCTTGGATATACACGCATACCTTCAACACTTTAGTTGTCAGGTGTTATGTACTACACAAACCTTCAATACTTTGGTTGTTAGATGTTATATAATACACATACCTTCAACACTTTGGTTATCAGGTGTTATATACTACACATACCTTCAACACTTCGGCTGTCAGGTGTTATATGCTACACATACCTTCAACACTTTGGTTGTTAGGTGTTATATTTTACACATACCTTAAACACTTTGGTTGTCAGACTGCACATTCCTTCAACACTTTGGTTGTCAAGTGTTATATACTACACATACCTTCAATTCTTTGGTTGTCAGGTGTAATATACTACCCATACCTTCAACACTTTGGTTGTCAGGTGTTATATACTACTGTCAACCATTAACTATGATACATGTATGTAAAGTCGTCTTTAACTTAGAACCCCCTCTAGGAGACACTAAAGTCCAAATCAATTAATTTTAAGCGGCTCCGGTCCTTTGTTCCCCATCGGAGTGTAAACAACTTAAAGCATTGTGAATCCATCCATTTCAAAAATTAAACAAAGAATATTTTCACATAAAGAATTAGTGACTTTAGTTAATAATTAATTGTCATTCTTTTCAGAAGTTTAAAAAAACGTCTTAGGACTGTTCGACGATTTAACCCTCCAATATCTCTTATTAGATCGTAAGAATCTTTCAATTATAAAAAATTTATTGTAATAATTCATATGATATTATTTATATCATTTTTTTCAGGAAATAAAGAGTTTCTTCATTATCGGTTTTGATTTGAGGGTTATCCAGTTGTTTATCTGTTCATTATTGAGAATCTTGCTGCTATACAACAACAACTACACATACCTTCAACACTTTGGTTGTCAGGTATTATATACTACACATACCTTCAACACTTTCGGTTGTCAGGTGTTATATACTACACATAACTTCAATTCTTTGGTTGTTAGGTGTTATATTTTACACATACCTTCAAAACTTTGGTTGTTAGGTGATATATTCTATACCTACCTTAAACACTTTAGCTGTTAGGTGATATATACTTGTTAAAATTAATTCGAAATATAAGGAAGACGATTTTTCCGACTCAAATTGCCGTAGCCTTTTCTCTAGATGTATGTGTACTCAAGATCCATTTCCTCCTCATGAAGTGCCCACATCTCGAATCCCCGCTCATCCCAGCTCCCTCCCGGTATTCAGTCAGGTTTAGAGAGTTGAGCCGGTAACAGCTCCACCACAGGGAGCCTCTTGACTCCTTTATGATGATGACGCAGATACTCAGATAGCAGCAGACGCTCTTACCCGAAGGGTTCCCAGTTCATCATGCATTCCAGAGACAACATAATCGCTCATAGCCAGCATGACAAGCCGCGATCTCTGCCTACTAGGTTGGATAAGTCCTGTTGTTCAAGATCCTGTTGATCTGCTTCACCAACATGAAGATCTACATCACTCCCATGAAGTACCCACAACATTCATCATTAATTCCTTTGTTAATTTCTAAATCAACCAATTTTAACTCCGCCTTAAATGCAAATATTTCAAAACACTTTCGTTTTAAATAAATGTTAGAAATATCCATTTTAGATCTCTTTATTTTATTATAGTGACTTTTCAAGTCAACAATACTACACATACCTTCAACACTTTGGTTGTAGATCATTAAATAAAATCATGCATGCTTTATATTTTATCTAATTTTGCGAAAATGGTTTTTCGAAAATGTTTACGATAAAAATATGATGAAGCGAAAGTTAGAATTTTTTTACGAATTTTACTTAAAAGGTTTGTCGACAATTTTCGCGAAATAAATCTGATTTTCAATTGAACAAAGTTTTCTTTTTCGTTTCCATTTCCGTTGGCTGAACGAAAGTTTGGAAAACCCAATTTGGTGACTTTATTTCGTTTTTTTTGTGAACCACGCGTCGCTTAATGTTAATATCTTACGCAGATTTTAAAATTCAATCCATCTCCCAGCAAGCTTTGCATATAAAGACATAAATTTTTGGCATTTAATTTTTTCGTTCTTACTTATGAACTAGAATTGTAAAGACCAAAACGCGATTAAAATCGAATTGGACAAAATGAATGCATTGAGCCAGCTGGTTAGTCCAAAATAATCGATGAATATAAAAGTAGTAATCTCTGTTTGTTTGTATGCCCGATCATAACTTAGAAACTCCATTACCTACGGTGGTAGGCGGTTAAATCAATATAATGAAGACGACTTTTTATTGAAGTTTTAATTGTTGACGAGCTTTCTTAGAAGTTACAAGTTCTTATAGATTATAGAGAAGCTTTTTTAATCGACAGCTTTTCTTTGTATCCGTGCTGTTAAAAGCTTGATTTAAATCAAAATTTAAATCAAAAGTCGTCCTGATCATATTGATGTAATCACCTATCACCGTATTAGCCTCAAGTTTGGACTGTGGGTTCATTCAGAGACGACAAAAGGAAATTGCCTTGGTTTTTATCATTTTATGTTTTTTATTCTCAACAAGAGGGAAGCTTTCAGTGGATTGATCCAAGTGAATGATGATGAAGAGAGGAAAGGGATAGTCTATGGTTGCCAGCTATAGATACCTGGAGGTATCATCCAATCCGGGCTTACAGATGTTAGGGAGCAATGAGTGTGATGTTTCCTATCAGTATGGTACCCGGGCCTCATTCCAGTATATCAGAAGGATTCCTGCACTCTATATTCTCAGGCCTAAAAAGAATCTCAGGCAGCTGGAATCTTGTCAACCCTCTTCTCAGTATAAATGAAGCGTGGACGGATGAATGTGCTGCCAGATTACAACCCCTGGTAGATCAATATAAACCCATATAACACCTTACTTTCGCAATAGAAAAATTACGAGATTTGATCGTAACATCCCGATCATGTCCTGGGGACCAAAAAGAAATATCTCTTTTAAATTTTACGTCATCCAAAAACTACATGCAATGCAAAGCAGAAATCAGCATTTTGTATATTGTATATTAGAATTAGTTCGTCACTTAAGTCTAATTTTTGTGTGTAACCCTGTATCTATTCAAATATATTTATAAAGTAGCAATCTCTGTATGTTTGCAACTCCGATCATAACTCTGGAAACCCTTTACTGATTTGCCTCAAATTTTTCTTGGAGAAATCGGTAGAACCACGTACAGGAATGTTCTTAGGATTTTAAAATAAGTTGGTCGAAATTTATGAGGTTTGCCTACTTTTTATCTTCAAAATTAACTTAGAAATTATAAACATACGAACTTTTATTTAATAATTTAGATTCTGACATATTTCTTATCATCTCCTTAAAGGCGCAAATATGTTAAATTCCCAACACTATTTATTAGTTTTAATTATTAAGTTTTTTAACTGGAATAAGAGAGGGAAGGCACTGGCACACCACACCTCCAACCACAAATGACGTAACAAATCACATTTCACCATTATTTCGTCCGAGCACACCCTTTTTCGTCCGGCTTTATTTACATTATTACATTATAATTTTGTATCATCATGTTGTTCAAAATGATTTAAAATATCATTTACTGTACATTATTATACAGGGTGTCCCAAAAAACATGGGAATTCAGTGACGAATTCGATATCGTCTTTTTAAATAATTCTTTGATTTAGTATAGTGATACCTACTGAGAAAGCCGTAGTCTGTAAGAGTTTCGTCTGCTATGTTCACAATTTGTTTGTTTATGTTTTGACTGCATACAGTTGTACTTAGTAAAACAAGAAAATTGCAGTATACAAATATGTCAAACAGAGTAAACATGTCTGTCTTCACTTTATATCTTGCGGAGACATAATAGACTCATCTTTGCAGTCTTTTACCCTTTTCATAAAATAAACTCTAGCAGACATAATAATATTGTGGCTTATGAAATTAGGTATCACAATGCTAATTCATAACAAAGACGATATCGAATTCGTCACTGAATTCCCATGTTTTTTGGTACACCCTGTATTATAATTTTGAGCCACATCATGTTGTTCATGCATAATGATTCAAAATAGCATTTACAGTTTTTTAAAGTACTTTACATTATTATATTATATTTTGAGCCACATCATGTTCTTCAAAATGATTCTAACTATCATTTACTGTGTTTTTAAAGTACTTTACATTATTATATTATAATTTTGAGTCACATCATGTTGTTCATAATGATTTAAACTATCATTTACATTGTTTTTAAAGTACTTTACATTATTATATTATATTTTGACCCACATCATGTTCTTCAAAATGATTCAAACTATCATTTACATTGTTTTTAAAGTACTTTACATTATTATATTATATTTTGAGCCACATCATGTTGTTCATAATGATTTAAAATATCATTTACATTGTTTTTAAAATACTTTACATTATTATATTATAATTTTGACCCACATCATGTTCTTCATAATGATTCAAAATAGCATTTACTGTGTTTTTAAAGTACTTTACGTTATTATATTATAATTTTGAGTCACACCATGTTCTTCATAATGATTCAAAATATCATTTACAGTTTTTTAAAGTACTTTACATTATTATATTATATTTTGAGCCACATCATGTTGTTCATAATGATTTAAACTATCATTTACATTGTTTTTAAAGTACTTTAAATTATTATATTATAATTTTGAGTCACATCATGTTCTTCATAAAGATTCAAAATATCATTTACAGTTTTTAAAGTACTTTACATTATTATATTATATTTTGAGTCACATCATGATGCAGGGGTCAATATAATTCCCAAAAAAGCTGATTTTCTCGATCCCAAAATAATTTTTTGCCCCCAATTTTGAAAAAAAANAATGATTCAAAATATCATTTACTGTGTTTTTAAAGTACTTTACATTATTATATCATATTTTGACCCACATCATGTTGTTCATAATGATTCAAAAAAGCATTTACATTGTTTTTAAAGTACTTTACATTATTATATTATATTTTGAGCCACATCATGTTGTTCATAATGATTTAAAATATCATTTACATTGTTTTTAAAGTACTTTACATTATTATATTATAATTTTGACCCACATCATGTTCTTCATAATGATTTAAATTATCATTTACATTGTTTTTAAAGTACTTTACATTATTATATTATAATTTTGAGTCACATCATGTTCTTCAAAATGATTCAAAGTATCATTTACTGATTTTTAAAGTACTTTACATTATTATATTATATTTTGAGCCACATCATGTTGCTTAAAATGATTCAAAATATCATTTACTGTGTTTTTAAAGTACTTTACATTATTATATTATATTTTGAGCCACATCATGTTCTTCATAATGATTCAAAATATCATTTACAGTTATTTTAAAGAAGAGAAACATTCTACTAGAAAATGCTAGGTTTAGTTTAGGGTGTGGAAACATTTTAAAGTTCTATTAAAAATGTCAAAATAGATTAAATTGGACAAAGTTAGAATTAAAATCAATATAAAGTGCATCAGTCAGTGGGAAGGTTGTTTATTGGTTTAGAAACTATTTAATCAAAAGTTTTAATTTAGTTTTTAAACTCGATAACATAGAACATATTTTAAATACTGCTAGTCCCAAAGAATACGAGAATAAATTTTCACGAATGATAAATGTCGAAATTAATTGCGGGAAAGGTTTTGATATCTTCAACCATCAAAAAACCGTGGGGTCATGCGTTATGGATCTATCTGTGAGGATCTTCTCTTTGTGCAATTGAAAGCAAATATTTGCAGGTTCAAGCGTATTTTTTCGCTAATTTTAAAAATCATACAAAATTCAAAAGGTTTGGGACACAAAGTTTTGTTATTTTTAGCATCCATAAACATTCTCTGGGACCATGTGAGGTCGCACACAAAATTTGGGCCCGATCGGTTCAGCTGTTTATTAGTAAAAAAAAGAAAGACATACACCCTGTAGGGTAATGTTACATCGTCTATACGCAACATTCCTCCTACTGACCAATCAACTTTCCGACCTACTGCAATATCTGACCTGCGACAGCAGTTTATTTTGAGGGTTCAGTTGAACAAATTTCTGGGCCGTGCTCCGCGGCTAGGGGGCCGAGCGCCGCGGCTAGGGGGCCGGGCGCTGCGACCAAAAGTCCATTTAGCAGCAGTAAAACCGCGTGCTAGTAGGTCGGATGTGAAGTATAGCGGATTTGTCGTAGGTCACAAGTAAAGTATAGCGGATTTGCGTAGGTCGAAAAATACACCACCGTAAGTTCATAGTTAGGTCCTGCCATTTACCCGCACTTTATTGTAAATTACAATTTTAGCTAATTTTTCCTATAAACGTGGACACACTATACATACAATTTCACAAAGCTAAGAACATTCCCATACAGCTGGGCGTAAATAAGGATTCTGTACGGAGGGGGGGGGGGGGGGGGGGAATTGTTTAAATGTTTTTACCCCCCTCCCCCCCTAAAAAATATCATGATGTTTATCAAATTATTGGTTCAAGTTGAGTTTGATTTGCGTTTTCCACTTATTTCTGGCATTTACAAACTCAATTAAAAAAGGCTCCATTTCATAACCTTCATTATGAATATTTATTTTACATTGACTACAAAGATCTGTAAAAAAACTGAATTTATTTTAAGTAACATGAAAAATAGTTTTACTCTAAGAGGAAAAAGATGTTACTTCTACTTTCATGAAAATCGTCTAAACACAAGTTTTTTAAAGGTGTTAAAAACAGACTAATCAATAGGGAATGATTTTTTTAAAATTAATTCGGTGATGGTGATGGACCAAACCTCTGTAGAGTAAAAAAGTAGATGTTAGTTCCACATTTATTGAAAATATATTTCGGTCTGGGTTGACCCTCGTCAGTTCTTGAGATTGTTTGTCACAAAGGTTAAAAACAAAACAATGATTTTTTTGGAGGGGGGTAACTGTAGCCTGTAGGGGCAGTAAGTGGAGTAATCCCTGGTATTCAGGACCTGAATAGTCCCGGGGTATAAAATAGTATAAAAAAATGTTAAAATGTTTAACATTTTTTTTAGGTATGAAAGACATTTGAACTAAAATAAAAAATTTTTTTGATCAATGACCTGGATCCGGATCCGGATCCGAATCCGGATCAGTTTTTTTGAAAAGCGGATCCAGGATCCGGATCCGGATCCGGATCCGCATCAAAATTAAATGGATCCTAAGCACTGCCATACAGACAGACAGATTACAACTTTATATATTAAGATGTATAGATATAAATTGAGAAGAAAAAAAATATTAAGTTTCTTTTACTTTTATTCCAGAAAGGAAACAATGCACAAGTACTGATTAAAAAAATTCATACAAGAAAACAATTAGTTTGTCAATCATACTCAGTAAAATTCATACAAGAAAACAATTAGTTTGTCAATCATACTCAGCAAAATGGTAAAATTAGTTGTCAATCATACTCAGTAAAATGGTAAAATTCATACAAGAAAACAATTAGTTTGTCAATCATACTCAGCAAAATGGTAAAATTCATACGAGAAAACAATTAGTTTGTCAATCATACTCAGTAAAATGGTAAAATTTAAGAACTTGAAAACAGTGAACCTTTTCAAACAATTTATAGAAACTTTTATGGTTCAGTAATTTTCAGTATCTTTGTTTAAAAAAAAAAGAAAAATTTTCCGATCGAGTATCTGTGCAATACAGAGCACATACATTCAAGCAAATAGGTAGTGTGAAATACAAATAGTTAACAATTAAAAACAAAACAAAATTGCAACGTGAGTTGTCCTCTGTACAGTCTGTACTGTACAGACTATACAGTGTACAGTCTAAGTCTACTATGACAATTTCTTACAAAGCAAGGGTGTACAGTACACTGTACAATACACTGTGTAAATGTACATAACAAACATTGAGAGAATGAAAACATTACTCTTCTAATTTAGTCTATTACTTGTAATTTTAAATTGATAAGTTTACATTACATCTAAATAATGTTAATATTTTCTTTGTTTTATGTGTAGATTAAAGAATTTTTAAAGAATTGAAAAAAATGTTTGTTTTCTGCTTCACTATACTTTGGATTGTTGATTCAGTTTAGCAGGGAGGGTAGTGTACATTGTGAATAGCAGCTAGAGCACTCTGAAAACAGGAGGATATTAATATAAACAGCTGTTTCCCGGGAGAGGGTATACCGGATTTACAACAATACCCTTTAAATATTTATCTGATCATTTATGCGTGGGATATCGAGGTTTTTATCTTCAATTATTTAATTATTAAAATATTGTTACTGCAGCCGAAATCGGTGTGAAGAAACCACAAATGAAAATAAATTAATTTTCCAAACGAAAAACATGCATATCTCATTCATTTTTTAATCAGACAAAGCGTTTAATGATAACATTGAGAATCTTATTTGTCACTAGAATCTACGTTTACAAATTAAGTAAAATTAAGTAAATTTTTTGAACTGCGAAATAATTTTAACAATTTTCAGATTTAGCCAAAACATAAAATCCCAACCTGAGCCGCAATCTTCTTAGCTTCCTTCTTATTTTTCCCTGACCCTGTATACGGTATACCGTTCACAGATACTGAAATATAACAACATTAAGCGTTTACTTCTTCAATTTGGAGAAAAATATTTTCCCGCATTTTACGTTCCCGATTCCTGGAATAAAATGTTGATAATTTTAAGAACTTAACTCTCAACCTGTACAAAATTATCAAACTTCTTCAGAACTTTAAAAACTTCTTAAGAATTTTTTGAAATTATATTCTATACTCTAAAAAGATTGGGAAAAACATGATGCAATTAAAAAAAATAACTAAAAGTCATTTTAAAACAATTTCATGTTCAAGTCCGACCCCAACACCCTATCCCGAAAATCCGAATTTTGTTTACCAAATTCACGGGTGTATTTATTTTTAAGAATCCCCCTGGCGGGAGGGGGGAATTCTTAAAGATCAGAGGAAAAAATTGGACATAAAAAGGGATTTTATTCATATTCGTTTTCAAACATTTTACCCAAAATTGTATAATTTTTTTCTTCTAGGGGGAAAAATGTTGAAGAAAATATACGCCTTAATTTGTCTGTGTTCAATATAACTAGTTTCCATAATATGCCACGGTAATATGTCAACGAATAATCATAAAACTAGTGCTTAAAGGGAGTGACCTGCTATGTAAGGTAGTTGAACTGAGTATGCAGTGTTGTGGAAAACTTTTTCGGATTCATTTGAGACATATTAAACTTTTTAAAGATCTGTAAATCCCGAGTTTGAGCGCAAATTCGACGTTCAAAACTCCTACTTTGTGGGTGGATAAGTTTTCAGAATTAGTTTTGACGACATAAAATGTAAAAAAAAGTTCTACAATAAACTACAGACGTCATGTATAATAAAAATTAATCTTATCATCGAAAATAAGTAATCTTGTTTCTATTTTCTCACTATTCTGGTTTCTCATTATTCATAAAGATTTCTGCAGATTTTCTAGATTTATTATTGAAAAGATGACATTTGAAAAATTTGAAGAAATCTGCGAATAAATTCAAAGGAGATAAGAAATTCAATATAATAATGAAAACGAAATAATCGATTTTAGCATTGATTTATTGACAAATTTCTTTTGAGAAATATGTTCCTAACCATCTAATTAGATTACTGTATAATTTTTACTTTATTTTTCGTTGTCGTTATTTAATAATTAAAAAAACTAATTCTGAAAACGTATCCACCCCAAAGTAGGAGTTTTGAACGTCGAATTGCGCTCAAACTCAGGATTTACTGATCTTTAAAAGGTTTAATATGTCTCAAATGAACCCGAAAGAAGTTTTCCACAACACTGCATACTCAGTTCAACTACCTTACATAGCAGGTCACTCCCTTTAAAGCGAATAGAAACTAGGAAAAAATCCTAAAATGGACAGGATTGGATTAAACAAAACATCCCAATCAACACTGCTGTGATCGGCAGCTCCTGGCTTATCATGGCTCACAGCTGGCTCATAAAAAAATTCAGTTTTAAATCTCTCTTTCTCCTTCGAAACCATTTTAAAAATATTTAATTAATCAATTAATCAATTAATCTCACCAGTAATTGTATAAAATGTATTTGGTGGAAGACCATCCACAGTAGTCTCATATTCTAGCTGTCCTTCCATCTCATTCAACAATTGAACCTGGAAATTATAAATTTTAAAAAGATTTTTCACTTTTTTTAGATCAGGAACTCAACCAAGAAAATATTTTTAATTCACTGGAATATTTTACTTTATTTGTTTAATGCGTTAAATCTTAAGTAATATTATCAAGTAATCATATATTTTATAAAGCTTTGGCTCGCTTGTATTCCTAATTACGACAGTGATAAAATTATTTAATATTTAATGTACCCTGTTGAAATAGTGAAATTTTATCGTATTAACCCTATCTCCGCTGGGGTACTTGAATAAATTATGTAAATCTATTATTTGAACCCCTGTGCCTGTACAAATTATGTAAATCTATTATTTAAACCCCTGTGCCTGTACAAATTATATAAATCATTATTTAAACCCCTGTGCCTGTACAAATTATGTAAATCTATTATTTGAACCCCTGTGCCTGTACAAATTATATAAATCTACTATTTAAACCCCTGTGCCTGTACAAATTATGTAAATCTATTATTTAAACCCCTGTGCCTGTACAAATTATGTAAATCAATTATTTGAACCCCTGTGCCTGTACAAATTATGCAAATCTATTATTTGAACCCCTGTGCCTGTACAAATTATGTAAATCTATTACTGGGTGTCTCTGAGTAGGGTTTTCAGGCAATACTTTAGGTCCCTTGGCTTTCTTCTCTTTCTCCTTCTTCTCCTTCTAAACAGAAAGAAAGATAAGTTAAATATACAAAATCTAATTGTTTAAGCATCCCAAACCTCCTCCCCTCCACCTTCCTTGAAGGTTACTGGACTTTTGCTCCACCCCCACCCCCCATCTTTTCTTGGAGAAATCNCCCTTCATCTACCTTGACGACAGTTACTCCCTCCATGATATCCATTTGCCCCTCCCCCCTTCACCTACCTTGACGACAGTTACTCCCTCCATGAAATCCATTTGTTCCACTCCCATTGGCATCCCCTCTTGAGGTTGATTCCTTCCCCCGGGCAAACTAACTTTCAACATCTCAGGTGGAATCACTACACCCTGGGCCTAGAAAATTTTATCATTATTTAAAGGGACTAGGCGTTTAAAGGCGCTTCACGCCCATCTTCTATTTCATTTGTGAACATTTTCTCTTTGTATAAATTGGAAAACAAAAACAAACAAAAAACAGTTCGCGGATTTTATAAAAATTATGTGGAAAATCAAATTTTGTTGGTTGGCTAAATTTTGAGATGTTGATCGTCCATAAACATTACCTAGGGTCATGTTAATTGTAATGTTACACACAAAATTTTAGCCCGAACGGTTCAGCCGTTTTAACGTTTATTGGATACAAACAAACCAACAAACAAACAAACAAACAATTGTTATCCCAGTTGAAAGTACATATAATTTCCCACGTCAATCAAACCACTGAAAGCTGTTTTTAGAGCCAGAATAGTTAATAATCAATTAAGTAGGATCAAATTTATTTGATTTCAAGGTTTTTTAGAATTGGGAATAATGAGAATTTTCGAATAGGATCAAATTGACGTTACTACTCTTAAATAGTTTTTTCATTGAAATTTGCTTTAAAACATTTGAGTTATACATTTGATGTAAGAAATTAATGTTTAATCCTAATAATTCTAATCTAAATGTTGAACGAAACCTAACAAAGAAGAAAACGAAGATAATTTTCTCTAGAAAATATTATTAACCTTGATGAGTCAATAATAATTCCAATAAGGAATAAAACTAAGTACTAAAGGAAAGAAGAATATTTTGTTTTAAAAAAATATATTATCAAAGTTGATAAAAAATTGAAAAAAAAGGTTTCAGTACCTGCCAATCGTTGAATAGTTTAAATAGGGCTACACTAGCCAGGGCAGTCCAGGGGGTCTCCTCCTCATGGGGTCCTTTGCTGTTCTCTTGCTCGGCCTCCTGCTAATCAATCAATCAATCAATCGACCAATCAACAAATCAATATGATAAACAATTGAATAAAAAATCAATTCTTCAAACAAGCCAGATATCAATCAAACTATCAATACAGCAACTAGTTAAAAACTCAATCTTTATTGCATTAACCAGCAACTCCACCAGCCAAACTATTTTTGTATGAAAAAAATGCATTACTCTTTAAAGGACTTAATCATTCAAACAATCGCAGAATGAATTAAAGGGACTGTAAGCATAATTTCAGAGCCTTCATGTATAAACGACAATGCCCGATTTACAATAGTACCTTTGAAAATTTTGTCTGATTAAGTGTGAGTTATATTTCCATGTTTAGGACTGAGGTTTCTCACGTACTTTACGTTAGAAAAAAAAAACAATATCTTCCCCATTATAGATCAGACTAAGGTTTCAAGGGAACCATTGTTAATCGGGCATTGTCATTTCTGCACGGAGGTTCACTTGAATTTTAGATCAAAATCAGGTAGTTACCTTAACACAGGAGCGGAAGGCTATATGCTGCAGTATTTGCTCAGAGCAGATATTCTAAAATAGCTTTTATTATGAATTTATTTGATTTATTTAATACCGTTCCTAGCTTCTTAACTTGAAAATCATTTTCAACTTTTCCCAAAATTACATTCATGAGTTGATACAAATAATAAAACTAAATTATTTTTTATTCCTGAAAAAAGATAACTGAACAATTTTTAATAATAATACCATTTGGTTTGGAGTTTGTTTTAAAAAAAATTGTAGAACTAACATCTCCTTTAATTACACTATGAGGTTTGGTTCATGATAAACACCAAATTTTAAATCATTCTTCACCTTTGCTATAGATTTCGAGGGACCAACTCCCTCAAACACTTTTCCGTCATAGTTGGCTGTAATCTTTAAAAACCGAGAAACCTGAACCAATAACAAATAAATATGTTTAAATGTCTGAAAAGATGTAATTACAAGCCTCAAACTCTAATCTTCTAATCCGTATCATAATCTTTGCAACCTATTTGTAGAATATGATGTGTCCATCTATAAATGTTGGTTTATCAAGTAATCAAAACTTGAAATATTAAAGTTTAAGACGAGCGTAAAAATGCGATTCGAATTTAGGACAGTAAAAATGTTATGTTACTTTGTGTCCCATTCACATTTTATTTTCTTCATTTAAAACCCAGGACTGTTTTGTATTTTTGACCCCCCCCCCCCCACATTGAAACCCATTTTTACCCAGATATTAAGCATGCTTTTTGGGGAAAACAAATGTTTTTTTTTGGAGGAGGGAGGGAATAAATGATTTTTTGGGGGAAATTTTTTAAAAAAGGATAAACAAACTTGTCTTTACATTGTTCTGTATCCGAATAAATTAATTTTTGGGTAAGTAAAAATTGGATTAAAAACTTTCTTGAAATTGTAATAACCCTATTTTCTATCCGACAAATCTGTATCGAAGGTTTCAAAAAATTTGTTTTAGTCGGACTTGAAACTTTTTATTAAATGGTCAGTAAAAACGTTACTTTGACAACCATTTAACAAAATTAAAAATGTCCACACGATAGAACAGCAATTTTTGAAGAAATTAAGAACTGTAAATTCTAATATTTTCCCCAGAACTTGTTTTATTTACCGGATCAGAGATGTAAGGATTGAACACGATCTCCGTGTGCGGAACCAGCTCGAACAAAACCATCATTGGAGGCTTGGGAGTCAACATCTTCTTGAGACGGTAGTTTCGTCGCCGTTTCAAAACATCCTTCGGGATCTTTTTCACTCCACCCTCCTTTATCTTAAATACAAAATACATTATAAAAAATATGGAATAACCTTAGTCTTACTCTTCAGAGAATATCAACTTTCAATATCTTCATGAAGATATCTTAGATTCACAAAATTGAAGGATTGAAGGATATGCTAGCTATATCCTTTTGCTATTCTTAATGGAAGAAAATATAGTTCAGCTACAACTTAGTAAATATAAACATACATGTTTTAAATTTTATGTCATTTTTGTGAATTTAACCGATATTTAGCCATAAAAGTCATTATTATATTTCTTCTTATTATCACAAAAGAATATAATTTTAGGGTTTCTAACAATCTTCTCGGCTTTTGTAGCAGCTGAACTGAGAGTGTAGCGTTTTATAATTAAGTATTAGGATTTATTTTAATCAGTAATATTTGTTTACGGTGGAGAACTGCGGATGAAGAGTGAAATATCAGTGCAAACTATGTTATTAAATATTTACCCCCCCCCCCCTCACAGAGAGCAAGGAGATAAATTGTTAAAATATATACGCAGGTAATTATTTATTCTGTATGACCAAGAATAACCAAGTATAACCAAGTATAACCAAGTATAACCAAGTATAACCAAGTAAAACCAAGTATAACCAAGTATAACCAAGTATAACCAAGTATAACCAAGTATAACTAAGCATAACCAAGTATAACCAAGTATAACCAAGTATAACCAAGTATAACCAAGTATAACCAAGTATAACCAAGTATAACCAAGTATAACCAAGTATGACCAAGTATAACCAAGTATAACCAATTATAACCAAGTATAACCAATTTTAACCAAGTATGACCAAGTATAACCAAGTATAACCAAGTATAACATGTAGTTTCACCAAGTATAACATGTAGTTTCACCAAGTATTACCAAGTATCAGCAAGTAACACCAAGTAACACCAAGTAACACCAAGTAACACCAAGTAACACCAAGTAACACCAAGTAACACCAAGTAACACCAAGTAACACCAAGTATATCCAAGTAACACCAAGTATATCCAAGTATGTCCAAGTATATCCAAGTATGTCCCAGTTTGTCCAAGTATATCCAAGTATGTGCAAGTATGTCCAAGTATATCCAAGTATATCCAAGTATATCCATGTATATCCAAGTATAACAAAGTATAACAAAGTATAACAAAGTATAACAAAGTATAACCAAGTATAACCAAGCATAACCAAGTATATACAAGCATATCAAAGTATATCCAAGTATGTCCAAATATGTCCAAATATGTCCAAATATGTCCAAATATGTCCAAGTATATCCAAGTATATCCAAGTATATGCCAAGTATGTCCAAGTATGTCAAAGTATGTCCAAGTAAATCTAAGTATATCCATATATATCCAAGTAACACTAAATAACACCAAGTAACACCAAGTATAACAAAGTACATACAAGCATATCCAAGTATATCCAAGTATTCTGAACTAACCTTACTGAGCCAAGTTGGCACTTCCTTCTCTCCGGTGTTCGTCACATCCTTCATCTCAGCGTCCTCAGCCTTTACCTTCATCTCCTGAAACATCAAGACAGTCGTCAGGGAGTTAATCACGGAGGTCAGGGAGGTCAACAAGGTTGTCAGGGAGGTCAACAAGGAAGTTAGGGAGGTCATCAAGGATGTCAGGGGGGTCATCAAGGATGTCAGGGAGGTCAACAAGGAGGTAAGGGAGGTCATCAAGGAAGTCATGGGGATCATCAAGGATGTCAGCGAGGTCATCAAGGATGTCAGGGTGGTCAACAAGGATGTCAGTAAGGTCAAAAGGGATGTACCTAAGGTCATCAAGGATGTCCGGGAGGTCAACAAGGAGGTCGTCAGGGAGGTCAACAAGGAGGTCGTCAGAGAGGTCAACTAGGAGGTCGTGAAGGAAATCTTCAAATATCTGGCTACAGGAGCTGTGTCAAAGAAATGTGTTAATCCATTTCAAAAGCTTTTGAGGAGGCAACTCAAACTCTTTGTTATGAAGAATACGAACTTGTTTGACATTCTTAATACCTGTGCTTAGGATCCATTTAATTTTGATTTGGACCCGGATCCTGGATCAGCACTCGAAAAAATGGATCCGGATCCAGGTCATTGCATTAAGATTTACTGAATTTTTTAACAAATTTTAACAATTTTATGTCTTATTTTTTATGTTAAATTGATGAAGCATTCAGATATCAGGAAATTTTTAAAATCTCTTTTTTCAATAGATCAGAATTGGGGTTGAGAGTATAAAAGTTTTTTTTTGTAGTTTTTGGTTGATATTTTTTCCCTTGGAATATGGTGACCATGTGTCTCACATCATTTCAGATCGTTAGAATCTCTAAATTAAGATTTCAGGACAGGAACTAATCGAAAAAAAACTAGTATTTACAAAAGTAAAAGACTAATTTAAAAATTATCTTGCAGAAAATACCAGGTTTTTGTTTATTCTGAGCGTATTTTGGCGTTAAATCTTGGAGATAAAAATTTGATATGGGACGCCCTGCATCTCTTGCACAGACGCAGAAAAAATACAACTGACTCACGGGTTGATGTGCATTGTGCATAGATTGTCCATAAAAAAAAAATCTTTTCACACAACTGCATAAGCAAGAATTAAAATCGGATAAAAGTGTTATCTTCAGGGGGCACAACTAGCTCCCCCCCCCCACTCAAGATCAAATTAACGACATAAAAACAGACCCCCCATCCCCTCCCCAATCAAGACTCCAAATTAGATGAAACAATTAATAATATAGTTTAAAAAATTTCTCAAACATTATTTGTAAACCCCTAAATACATTTATAATTGCATTATTAAAATAGGTGCATCACTTTAAATGAAAAACCAGCTTCAGGAAGAATTGTAACCAAATAATTTACTTCTATTAGATGCTCCTTTAAATATCTAATGGACAAAGTGGCCGCAGCGCCGGCCCCCTAGTTTGTGATGGCCGCGGCGCTCGGCCATTTAGCCAGCCCTAGCCGCAGCGCTCTCAGTCCAGATATGATACAAAATAAATATTATTTTACAGTTGAAATAAATTCATAATCGCGCGTATAAAAATGGTAAGTGGGCGGAGGGCGAGGTGGGGTACCAAAAACTCCTACTAGGTTTGAACCTAGAGTTGAGCCAGGTCAAAACTGCGTTTGAATACAATCCTTTCAACTATTGAAAACAAGGCTACCTTGTAAGAGGAAATTTAGTTAGGTGAAGCAAGATCCTAAAAAAATATGCGGATCCACGGATCCGGATCCAAGGGGTAAAATATCAACCAAAAACTGCAAAAAAATCTTTTTTACTCCAAAACGCCAAATCTGAACTTTTGAAAAAAAAAGAGAGATTATAAAAATTTCCTCATTTCTGAATGGTTCATCAAGTTTTAGGATAACAAAAGCGAAAAAAATAAAACCAAAAAATTGAAAAATTTGTTTTATTAAAAAAAATCAGTAAATATTCAAAAAATAACCTGGATCCGGATCCGCATCAAAATTGAATGGATCCTAAGCACTGCAACAAACAGTTCACGGCATGCATTGCAGTTTAGAAAAAATAATTAATATCAGTCTTTTACAAACTTCATTAAACAAAAACAAAATCATAACTGTACTACATGTAAAGCGGTTTACCAAAGCTAAAACCAAAATATTAAATAAAAAATGAATTATTCAACATATTAAAATAACATCAAATAATCATTTGAATCTAATACCTCAGCGCTAGCCGGCAGGTTGGTCTTGCCGTGGTAATTACTAGACTTGTAAGGCATTTCACTGCTGGAAAACAAAAACAATATTAACAAATATAAAATACCTTTTTTAATTTATTCTTTAAGTTAAGAAAATAAGTTAAAATATCTTTTGGTTCAGTATTATTGTTTGTCAAATAACGCCGACAGAGGATTTGTTAGTGAGCGCAAGGAATCGATAATCCCCCGTAAAATTATAATTGTATACTTGGTGGAAGACGATTCGAGTCTATACGTAGGGCAGAATAATTTGGCCTAGTTTCTCTAGACTCGATAAACAGGTTTAGGTTCCGATGAAGTGTTCTATTCATGAAAAGTGTCTAAAATTAGGTATTATTATATTTTAGGATTTGATTCTTCCAAATTTCTATCATCATCCATATATCGTTCAAATGCCATTGACAGAATTGACAACTAAAACTAAAAAATAAAGAGAAAATTGTGATTTTATTTTTTTAATATATTATTCTCGCTTTTCATTTTTAAATCTTTGGAGAGGCTAATGTTCTCCAATTTTGTCTTATTTTGTCTTTAAAATAAAACTTTATTTTATAATTCGGAAATTAGAACGCAATTTCTCTCGCGGCGACCGGAATCTTGACGCATGCGTTGTAGAGGTTTACGCATGCGTAGTGCAGAGTCCTTCACAACCTAGACTGAATCGAACCCCGACAAGTCGCGGTGAGGGGAGAGAAATTCAGCTGTCAACATCTAGAATTTTCGTCTTCAAAAAATCCACGAAAACTTTATTAAAAACGTAACAATTTTCGCGGATTTTTGTCCTTTTGTTTACTCCGAGACGCGCTGCATCTTGTAAACTGATTGTTATCTGAGTTCTATGGATAGTTTGAGAAAACGGAATGCATCAGATGGAGACTCAGGGTTTGACAGTGCACTCAGGTTTGTTATTTTGTTATTTTCTGAACTTCTACTATTTTTACATTGCTCTTTTCTTCTCTTTAGCTTTCGTAAACGACACTGCTACATTTATACAAATTTGCACAAAATAATAGTGAAGCTGTTTCAATTATCTTACTGTAAACAGTGCTGTTGTTATGATTAGATAAATATTCAACATTACGAATATATGTCAATAAACGTTTAAAACAAATTATCGTAGATACAAGAAGACGTAAAAAATAATGAAATTCCTTTTTTCGCAAATTAGTCTATTTCAAAGATTTATAAGAACGGTATGCATGTTCTGTTTCAAACTACTGAAATGAATCTCACTCGTCAATTTTTCGTTTTGAACTGAAGGGTAATTTCCTAATATACGATTTTTGAATCCCCCCCACCCCCCTTCTATCAACTTTGTTCATGGATCTCTTATGTAACACATGGATATAATTGGTCATTACTAAAGAACGAGGGACCTGCCCGATTTTAAAGGTACCCTTCGAACATTCATCTGATCTTTCACCACATAGTTTCTGTACGTAGAAATGTGTATGCCTATATTAACCCATAATGAAAATATTTGATTTCCCCAAACGAAAAATGGAAAGCTTATATTCTTGATCGGAGATAATTCCAAGGTTAAACCCGTAGATCGGACATTGAATGTAGGTTCATTTGATATTTGGTAACGAGAACGATTTTTGGCCCCCCCGCCCCCCCCGGGCCCTCCGTTCCCCCTCGTATCAATTTTGTACATGGAAAATAAATGGATATAATTGTAGCCGCAGCGCCGGCCCCCTAGCCTGTCCAAAAATCGTTATCTAGGACGGACCCTGAAATTAAACTTACAGTCCCTTAAATATTAAATCTGGCCACCTTGTCAAAAGTTTCATTTTTCCCTTAAAAGTGTCCCCTCACGTTATATTTTTACAAACTATATATAATTTTCATTTCAGTTCGCGTTCATCTTCAATCAGCTTGGAAGAGTCAAATGAACTTCTGGAGTACAAGGTATTTTAACAATCAACTAATCCATAGATAACACAATTGATCATTCAATTTATTTACAAAAAAAATCAAATTTAGAATCAAGTTTCTAGTGAAACGACGGATTAATCAATTAATGCAACAATTTATTAATTACCAACAAAAAATTCTCAAAAGTTATTTTAATCTCACATTTCATTCAATCAACTAAATATAGTTATTGATCTTCTTTTTAAACAATCAATCAACCAATAAAACCATTGATCAATTTGCCAATTACACAATTAATCAACCTACAAATATAACAATTAATAAACCTGCTAATCGACCAATCAATCAACCTTTGATCCAGTTAAGAAGCAATTACTCAATCCGCTTTTAAAATAAGTCATCAAACTGCCTATTAACCATATAATTAATTAATCTAATAATCAATTAAGTAAACAAAAAAACGTTTTAAATAAACAATTAATATATTACTCAACCTTAAACCAAAACTACACCATACACTTAATTAATTTGTCAAGCTGTTCTGGAATTAATCGATTAAAAAATTCTTTAATTTTCGTTTTCTTTAATTATTGTTTTTAAAATAGTTTTTTCTAGATAAAAGAAAAAGTGCTGTTTAAACGTGAGGAAATCTTGAATTAATGATTAATTGGTATTAAAACTGATCATAAATTCCGCCTGCTAATTTGAAAAGTATGCGTCATGTAAAGTTTGAACGCATGTTTTTTTTCACTGAAGTACAGGTGCTGCACAACCGTTAAAACTTTGTTGCGTCAGAAAACGTTTTAGCTTCAAGGCCATGAATCAAAAAAAAAATTTTAGCTGATGAAATAGATAAAGATAAGGAATGTTAAAGCTTTTCATTTGGTGATAAATTTTTATTTTAATGATTAACCATATCTAGTGCTTAATAAGTTTAATCTTATCCCAAAGACTGTATTACGAAATTACAGAAAGAGAAGAGATTGATTTTATTTTTAATTTAAATTTAAGATGGATGGTTGTGGTCTATTTTGAAACATTTTTTGAGGGAAAAAGATTATCATTCTTTATACAGATATGTTCCCTTGTTGGTGATTTTTTTATCTGGTTTCCATTGAATAAGGAATTTCAAAGTAAAATAGAAAATTTTTGGACATAGTTCTGAGAGAAAAAAATAATAAATTGGACATCCTTATGGCTTTTTTATACTTTAAATGAAAAAAATTATTTTTCCACAATTCAGCGAATAAAAGAAAATAGTTAAATACACCTCTGTTGTAACAACCCCTTAAATACAAGAATACAAAGTAAAAGTAGTTAAACCAACCCTACTAAGTTCAACTACATCTCAATTATTCATAAGTTTCTATCTCAGGTTTGTCAGGTGACAGTAGACGACACCTCGCCCTCGCTTCGAAACAAGTTTTCCCACTTACTCGATTCTCAAGAAGATATTATTCAAGGAACTCATCAAATCATTTTAATAATTGATCACGCTCAGTGTTCATGACCGGTTCTATGCATAAAGGGACTGTCGCATGTCGACGGTTTAAGTTTGTTCACATTTGATTTACCACGATACCATTCAGACCTTAGGCTGGGTAAAAATAATGGAGAAATGCTTAGTTTTTCTGCAAGCTGTAGATTTGAATTTTGCATTAGAGATACAGAAGAAAATTGACATATTTGAAATAGTAAAAACTAAGGGTACTGTTGTGAATTGAGCATGCAATTATTTATATGGAGGGTCACTTGAAAATACGTTCAGAGTCCCTTTAACCTATTTATTATTTCTGTAAGAACTATTTTATGATTTTGTTTTAAATCAAAAAAGTTGTACTTTGATCCTTGTGCTAAATAATTGCTTATCTCCAAGGGTTTATGACTAAAAATACTTTATATGAGTGTGTACTGTGTAAACGGAAAGATAACACTATTTTTAACCAATCTAAGAATTCCTTTGTTACATAATATTCAAGTTCCTGGAAAAGGTCCAAAAATTAAGAACATTTTCAAGACAATTTATTTGATAACTTTTTTTTACAAATAATAGAGTGGCAATTGTCTAGAAACTTTTTTTTACAAATAATAGAGTGGCAATTGTCTAGAACTATCTTTTAAAACACATTTCCAGGTTTCATCTGATTTTCTTTAAATGATTTGAGCATTTACATAGATGTGTGTACACCGGAGCTGTACATTATTCGAGACAGGGTCAGTGGAAGAGAGACTCTGTACAAACCTCCCTCTAGACTCTCTTTCAGTTCAGAACCACAGGTGCAATGCAAAACAACAAGCTTTACATTTTGATCATCCACAAACCTCCACTAGGGTTATGAGAGGTCCCACATAAAATTTGGGTTCGATCGGTTCAGCCGTTACGGTTATTGGATACAAACAAACAAACAGAAGAGACTGTAAGGGTAATCCTCTATCCAAAGATTACAATGCCCGATTTACATTAATACCATTGAAACTTTAAACTGATTAAAAATGAAACCATTTAAACCTTAAATTGATCAAAAATTAAACCATTGAAACCTTAAATTGATCAAAAATGAAACCATTGAAACCTTAAATTGATCAAAAATTAAACCATTTAAACCTTAAATTGATCAAAAAATAAACCATTTAAACCTTAAATTGATCAAAAATGAAACCATTTAAACCTTAAATTGATCAAAAATGAAACCATTTAATCCTTAAATTGATCAAAAATGAAACCATTAAAACCTTAAAATGATCAAAAATTAAACCATTTAAACCTTAAATTGATCAAAAATTAAACCATTTAAACCTTAAATTGATTAAAAAATTAAACCTTTTAAACCTTAAATTGATTAAAAAATTAAACCATTTAAACCTAAAATTGATTAAAAAATTAAACCATTTAAACCTAAAATTGATTAAAAAATTAAACCATTAAATCCTTAATCTGATTAAAAATTAAACCATTTAAACCTTAAATTGAATAAAAAATTAAACCATTAAAACCTTAATCTGATCAAAAATTAAACCATTTAAACCTTAAATTGATTAAAAAATTAAACCATTTAATCTTTAAATTAATCAAAATTTAAACCATTTAAACCTTAAATTGATTAAAAAATTAAACCATTAAAACCTTAATCTGATCAAAAATTAAACCATTTAAACCTTAAATTGATTAAAAAATTAAACCATTAAAACCTTAATCTGATGAAAAATTTGGAAGATATCGTCGTTTTACTCACTTTCGTACTTCTTTAAGTTTCTCCAGAACTTGTAATAAACAAGAAATTCGCAAGTTACTTTTGCAGAGAATTCTCAAATGAAAATAATCGTTAAAAGAAACAAGAATTTGCATTATGCATGCATATCTATTTTAAACTTGATCAGACATAGCTATTAAGCACTGAGATCTAGACTGCTCCGTAAGTTATTCATCAAATTTTTAGACAAAATTTATAAAATTATCCTTAAATAAAATAACAAAATGTTGTCAGGTAAAATGAAATTATTGTTTGTTTTAATTCTGAAGTGCCGTAAAAGTATCTTTCGTGATCCGTCATTTGCCGAATGAACATTTTTTTTTAGCTTTAGTAATGTATAGTAGGACAAACCACAACAACAAAGATGAAAATAATAAAAGACTATGATAACGACTAAGAAAAATAACAAAGATGAAAATAATGACAATGATGAAAATACCAATAAAGATGAAAATAATAACAATGACTAAGATAACGACAAAGAAAAATAACAACAAAGATGAAAATCATAATAAGGATGAAAATAACAATAAAGATGAAAATAACGACAATGATGAAAATAACAACAATGATGAAAATAACAATAAAGAGGAAAATAACGACAATGATATAAATTACAACAAAGATGAAAATAACGACAATGATAAAAATAACAACAAAGATTAAAAAAACAATAATGATGAAAATAACGACAATGATGACGAGTATAACAGACTAAATTGCTAAATAGGCTGAAAATGATAGTCATGCCACCCATGATTAGTGATAACAATAATAACAACTCCAATATTTAGATTGGAGAGACCTACTCTGCTGAAGAGTATGACCGTCACAACACTATCCCACGCTCTCAGCTCTTCAGCTCTAGGTTACAGCTGGAGCTGGAGAAACAGGTTGCCAAGATGGAACTCGTCGAGGTCGACCTACTCATGGACCCTGCACTGGTAGGTCACATTGTAGATATTCGCCAGAATTCGAGGATTTTATTTATTTTGAGACAGGGGAGTTTGTTAATAGATTCTCGTAGATTACGAGAATGCATTGTACATCAAGTTTAAAATGTTCATTGTACAGTCAGGGGGTATATTTACCCACCCACCCCTTTTTTTAAGTAGTTCGATTTATAAAGAAAAAGCATTAAAAAATAAAATCTTAAATATAAAATAATAACCATTGTAAAATAAAACTCTAAAAATACAGGGTGTCTCTGATAAAAGTGTGTTTAGACTCTTAAGCCTATTAAACATCGAATATTTCGTCAAAAACTGTTCTAGTAGGTACAATCCCCACAAATGGGAGGGGGGGGGGCTCGTCGATGACATATTTTTCTCTAAAATGCCGTTTTAACCTTCAAGATTATGCATTATAATCTTTTTTGCCATTCATTTTTAAAATCCTCGATTCCATCAATGAAAAAGCGCAATGTATTTTATTCTGTCGTATAAAACGTAAAAATTAAGTTATATTAAACATTTTATTTGTTTAAAAATCCTAGGAAGATGAGACACATTTTCGAATATTAATCCCCCCAGCAGGAATAGGGTTAACGGATATCCAAAGAGAGAGAGAAAGAGTGGATTAAGAACTAAAATTAAAAGTTTCCACAGGTGATATTCGGATCAAGAAGTCAGGATTAAAGTCTATCCATTCTAAAGTTCCCAGCTCTGGAAGCACTTTTAACACAAAACAATGATGTTTAGTATTCTAAAAAGCCTAAACTAAGGATATAAAACACCCAATTATTCATTCCTCCCCTTCCCTCCACCAAGGCCGAGGGAGTTTCTTTACAAAATTCACCCCTGTGAACAGTGCAGACTCTTTCTCTGTTGTCTGGGTTGAGCCTCGTTTTCGAAGAAAGTTCTGGATTTATTAAAGTATGAAAAGTACATTCATATTTTCTTTGCATGTACTCTATTCTGAGTTTACACTTACAACCTTACAACTACTCACTTGATAGGACAGACTTCGTATTTAGAAATATTTCTAAGTTACGCATAATTAAGAACAAAAAAAATCTTTTACTCTTTGCTTAATCGTCTATGTTAAGATCAGCATGCATAATTCATATATCCTCTCATTTTCCTTATACTTGCTTTTCATTCCTCAGCATCTTTTAATGAAATAATTCTGTCTCTGATAAACTCGTTATCATAAAATATGGATTATGCAACCGTACTGTTTGTAGTTCTAGTGTAATGTAACTATCTAGAGTTTACTCTTGCAAATCATTAGATGCATGTATATCGCATACCCCCTCCTCCCTCCCGCAACCTTTTAAAGTATATATTTATGTAAGTGGGAATTTTCCAGGAGAACTATTTTCCTACGTGACTATTCTCATTCAAATTCTTTTAAAGACTCGATTCTATTTGTTCGACTTGTTGCAAAAGGTATTTTTGTTTTAATTTTCTAATGTAAACCAAAATTTGTTGATTGCATTAAAAGAAATATCATATATTTGGATTTGGAAAAAATCTCCCAAAAGAATTTTATTAAATTTTAAGCAAATGGGAATATTTAGCCTTAACTGGAAAGTTATCCTCCTTTATCTCCCATCATTCTTTTTTTTTAATATCATGGACAAGCCATTTAAATATTGTCCACATTACGTTTTCAATATCATGGATAAGCCTTTTAAATATTGTCCACATTACATTTTCAATATCATGGATAAGCCATTTAAATATTATCCTCATTACATTTTCAATATCATGGATAAGCCATTTAAATATTATCCTCATTACATTTAAATATTATCCACATGACAATAAAATATTATCCTCATTACATTTAAAAATTATCCTCATTACATTTAAATATTATCCTCATTACATTTAAATATTATCCATCATTTAAATATTATCCACATGACATTTAAATATTATCCTCATTACATTTAAATATTATCCACATGACATTTAAATATTATCCTCATTACATTTAAATATTATCTTCATTACATTTAAATATTATCCACATGACATTTAAATATTATCCACATGACATTTTTTCACGATTTTAGAACTACCTAAAGTGCCAAACGTTGCCCGTAAAAAAAATCCGAATTTTGAATAACAAAATATTTAAACTTGCAAGGAAATTTTTTTTTTTAATTTACCCCGTGGGTTCCTTAAAAAATGTCACCCCATTTGGTCCAGGCGTTCAGTCGGCTATAGCTGACATGTATATATTAGCACATGCATTATTATATAGATTAGGTTTACCCCTGTGCATTATTTTACTATTATTAACAAGGTCAATTCAATATGCGATAGATAAAAGCCTTTTCAGTCCACATGTATATTTTGCTGCGTATATTGGGTTAATGCGTACTGGCCACGTTGGATTTTTTAAATAGGTCAGATTCTACAACTTCCAGGAATAATTTCGTAACTTTAGTTTGTTGGCAAGATAAACGCTTATTTGAATTCATTTTCACTGGGTAAATAATAAAGTTCTTTGCTAGTTTATTTATTATGGGAAGGGCAATGTTAAATTAAGTGAAAAAAATATCACGGAAAGGGACAGGAGACTTAATTTTTAAATACCCTGAATTAAAAGAGTGACATGTCTGATTCACAACCTGTGATGCAGTTATTGTCATTCTTTTGTCTGGAAAAGTGTAAAATTCTGGCGATTTGGGTCATTGTCTTCACAACATAAATCCACAAGTCACTGCAGATAAACTACAATTAAAAATGATCAATTTTCAGCCGGAGATAAAGATATTCTTCTTTATTTTTGATTAGATAAAGGTTTGAAGTGTACAAATGTGTATCAGACATTCCGTGGTGTAATGGAAGGGTACTTGGATTTACGTCTAATCTCAGTTCCTTAAAAAATGTTCATTGCATCATTTAGATTTTACGGGTTTAAGGATACTATTACTTTCTATCTCCAAATATTTATCTATCTAACAATCTGTTTTCCATCTACACGTATTATTTATTTATACCATCTTATTATCCATTTAAATATCTATTCAATCAACTGTATCCCTATTCCCTATCTATCTACTATCTATGAATATGTCTATCTAGGTCCCCCCGCCCAGCCTTGGAATCCGTGTGATCGGTGTGAACATGATCCATGGTGTCCCGGACAAGCTGAACATCTACATCAAGAGAGTAATGGAGAACAGCGTGGCTGGGTTGGATAATAGGATCAAAGTTAATGATCATATTGTAGAGGTAATAAAAAATATTTACATACGGGTCAATCATAGCTGGAGCCCCCCCCTCCTCTATTGCGTTAAAAGTAAATATGAGAGAAAAAAGATTGACACATTAGAATTATTCCTTATTAATCTTCAACACACACACACCACACACTCGTGGGACAAGGTCAGAAAGTACTTTTGACTTTGTACAGTTTCAGCTTGCAAATTTCAAGCTTCATGCACTAATTCTAATACTGACAATTGTTCATTTTATTTCTGGGTGCAAATAAAGGTCGCCAGGTTAACAAACAAATAAAAAACTTAAATTCAAACGTTATTTTGACTCTCTGTAGATTCAGAAGGACTTATTATATAAAATTCTTGTTTATAAGTTTTTACAAAGGAAGAGATTTCATTGAAGTTCTATTTATAATAATCTTTTAGTTGAATGCAATCTTTTTCCTTAAAGGGACTGTCGTTAAATTTTAAACGACCCTCCATTTAATATGGAGCATGTCCAATTCAAACGATATCATTTAAACCTAAATTCAATCTAATCAATATTGTGGAAGATATGAACGTTTAGCTGAGCTAGAGTTCTGACAATTTTCTTTAAAGTTGATTTCTGTATCAGAACTCCGGGAGTCACATATACCAAACAGAGAAATCATAATTGAGAAAGATTTCAAGTTGGGACATAACATGGAATATTTCTGTTTTTATTCAAATTTTAAGTTAGGTGTTTATATTGTCACGAGCCCAGAAAATTTTGAAAATTCGAAACACTAAAAAGGGCCGATAATATTTCTCTCGTTTAACATACGTCCATTAAGATTCATATAGTATATATCTTACATTGTACATTGTGCAATTTTAAAGGTGCATGTGATAGTTTTCTTTTTCTGGTCTTTTTGAATACCGGATAATACCAGTATTAGTAATTGTACACTGTTCTTCAATGTAAATTAGTTCACTTATGACTCACTAAGTACTTCATGAATATCTGTCGGTAATTTGAGACAAAAAGTATAGGTTATATCTCAATTTATTGTTAATTTTTCATGTCTTTATTAAACAATATTGATGAATTTGTTAAAATCTTGAAATTTAGGTGAATGGAGTTTCACTGGTAGGAGTTTCTCAGAAGCTAGCAGCCGAGGCACTCAGCTCTTGTGCTGTTAATCCTGAAACTAGCGTAGTTCATTTTGTTCTTGCTAGGGAGAAATCGCCGCCACTAAACCTGGAAACTCTTGTGGCGGATGAGAATCAAAACCTTCCGCTCTCTTCCGTACCTCAGGATCAGCCGACTATAAGGGTAGCAAACCAAGATCCTATGGCGGTTAAAGAACCCTTAATTCCGCCTATTGAAGGCAATTCGCCGCCTTTATTACTCGCTCCCAGTATGCTTCACTGTGGTGAATCCACAGCGTTTATTCCGTTATCCCCGCTGGAATCGGAAATAAGACTGAACTTGACGGATCTACCTGAATCCGTCCTTATCAAAATTTCTTCTTATTTGTCGACCGAAGATTATATCAGTCTGAGTAATGTTAGTGAGTCTTTCTATCAAGTTCTGGTGAAAAATCTGAGTGAACTACCGGAACCAGAGTCAAATTTGTATCCGACACCATTGGATGGCGGATTAAATCCTCCAAATAAAAATGGTGATAATCCCGTCAGCAAAACCCCGCAAATTCTGGAGAATGGAAAATCCTTGAAACATGGATTAGAAAATCTGGGAGATGAAAATATTGGAACTATGTTGGGGCTTGGCGCAAAGCGACGAATGGACCGGGTCGGACCTCCCGGAATGACCCAACATTTGATTCGCCCGATACATCCTCAAGGACTTCGATCTTGCATTTGATCCTGTGTTGCCCCAGTACCATCTCATACTAATCTGCTGCGGCTCTATTATATGTAGAAACTGACCAAAAATGCAATTCAGTCTAAAATTATTAAAATTCTGTGATCTTCCCTCCCCCGTGGATTTAAATTTTTGCTAAGTATGTAAAACTATGCCCTGGAGAGCATTTGTAAACCACAATTAATTTATTGGATTTTGCTCAAAAAAAAAGATTCAGCATCATCGGATTGCAATTAGTTATTCTTGATAATGAAGAGTATAACGTCAGGTTGACGGAAAGAGCGAAAGCAGTTATAAAAAAAAATCAGAAAAAGCAAAAAAAATACATATAACATATAAAACCAGAAAAAAATATAATTGTTCCGAATGCATGGGATCTTTGGCGGAGCTATATCGCGCCGAAATACCATCTATTCGTCCGTGTAAAAATCACTCCGGAGATCTCAATATTTATAATCCTGAGGTTTTTAAGCTAGTACTGCCGCCATTATTGACGCCCATTTTCTGTATCGCGGATTACTACATTGGCTTTTACTGCCGGGGTTTTATAGAACCGGATTACATGGATACATATTTATGATATATATAGCAATACAACCAATCAATCGGATGCCAATTTGAACAAATACAGTTCCGGACTCTGTTCCACTAAGTTGTGATGAAAAGTTAAAGAATTAACTCAACCATATGATAAATAAATTTGTTAATCAATTCTCATTTATAATTATCCAGATTTTTTTCTTTCAGATGTCTAGAGAAAAGGAAAATTGGTTATAAACGACAGTTTTTTACAAATGATTTTTTCTTAAATTGGCCTTTTTGATCTTGTAAGGGGTTATTTCAGAGCTTTGCCTGTTTAGTGTTGTAAAGGGTTATTTCAGAGCTTTGTACAAGGGCGCAACTAACAGTTTTGCTAGGGGGGGGGGGGGGGGCTAAATATTATCTTATTATATCGAAATGAATTTTTTTTAATAAAGTTATAAGGGTTTGAAGTCGAAAAAAAGGAATTTTTCAGTTCTTGCATTCTTATTTGGCTGTTTCAATTCAAATCGAATTTTTGTTGTGTTTTTAAAAAAATTATACTCTACAGTTATAAAATGAACAATATATGTCAATTTGTTGAATGTGTTTGCGAAGCGCAAAAGAAAATTGGTAAGTACCTGAGTTAAAATTACAAATTATTTTTAATTGTACTAAAACACTGAACTGGAACAGTCCTCCTAGCAATAAGCATAGAATTTCTGGAGACCCCCTCCCCCATCAGTTCTAAACTTTATTGATGTAATATTTGATCTACAGCTAAAAAAAATCATTTATTACGGTCAAATGTGTGAACAGTATTTTTCATGTTCTAGAATGGAAAGAAGGGGGGAGATATAGGGGATAGAGATATCATTCATGTTTTTATACTTTAATAATATATCACCACATGAAAATTAAAAATTATTATCTAAATTCAGGATCATTTTGAAAAAAAGGGGACGGAAAAGAAAAATGGACAAAAAGGTTTAATGTTTGTTTCTTCTGTTATGTTTTAATAAAAGTATTTTACAGTTGATACGAATGGTTAAAAAATTGTACTATAGCATAAATTCATAGCATTTATGAATGATTAGGCCTACTAGGCCTAGAGTAGGGATCATCAACATATTTACCACTGCACTTCTCTTGTTATGAATATTAAAACAACGTTCAGAAAATACATTTTTTTAAATTAAAAATGTCAACCGGAAACCGTTTTCTTTTTTAACTTCGGTTAAATAATTCACTAATGCAAGAGAAATTTTTTTATAAATACATGGATATATGGGTACGTACAGAATGTCCCACGAAACATGACAGTTGGTAAATAATTTGGAATATCTTCTTCCCTTTACTGTAATAGATTTTACAGACATTTTGCATTTTTTTTTCGTTCAATAAAATCTTTTACTAAAATATATTTTACTTTGAAATCAATTTTGCTAAAATATGACTACCATTAAATATTATAATTCTTTTTAGTATTAAACATGTAAGTATGGAAAAAGACATTTTAGATTATTCCCCAACTGTCATGTTTCGTGGGAAACCCTGTATCAAAAGATTCGTATTAAAACACTGTAATCAGATATTTGAAGTCCAAATCTAATATTTGAGAACAAAAATATCTGTTTTTTGATAAATCAAACAATTTGGTAAATCAATGGTAAATATAAATTGATGTTACGGTTTTAAGACCTAAGAGCCTGAAATTTGGCAACAACTCATGTCCTTACAGGCATATTTCAATTTTTAAAAAGTCCAAAATCGATCACCCTTTACCTGCAGAGGTTGTGGACTTATGTGGAGGGACTGGCTAACATGCGAATGTTTGCAGATTTTCAAATGAGACATATTTTCATTAATAAAAGAAGTTCACATGAAGCCACTTAAAGTATAGGAAATGTTTTATTACTGAGACATGTTTGAAAGACACTTACAAAGATTAGTTCAACTGTTTATATTCTATACTTCTTCTTACTCTACTCTATCTAGTATCTTTCATTAATTCAATATCAAAAAACGTTAATTAACAGTGGGTCTAGTGGGTGATTATTTTAAAAGTTGGATTTGAGGATATGATTTTTTAGCTACAGGACAGGAATATTGTGTAATATGTAACTAATCACTTTGAATCAATCTTTTACCATTGTCCGATTTTAATGAATTTAAGCCGCGGCTCAAATCTCCAAAAAAACGGTTTCAATTGAACGCCGGCTTGAATCTTGAAACATTGAATATTATTTTAAGTGGAACTAACCATATTTGAGCCGCGGCTCAAATTCTTTAAATTCGGCCTAATGAGTCTTACAAAAAATTCTGTTTGCTAAGCTAGCTTTTTTGGGATAATTAAAAAAGGAATCTTGCTTACTTACTTTTTATAAAGGTGAACAAATGGGATATCCTTAGTTCTTTGAAAATATAAAGATGTCTGTTATATATAAAAAGTTATTTCAAAATTTAATAATATATTATATCTTATACGAGTACACAACAATAATTATACAGGAACAAAATACAAAGTAAAAATTCTGTAATTTTTCAAAACAGCACTAAAGGTTTCTGATTTCGCAAGCCTTTAATGGGGAACACTAAACAAAATGTTCTGTTTCAATATCGTGCCAAGATCTTCTTTAGATCCTTCAGAGCTTGTTGATCTGATCGGTAACACTTTTGTTTAGTATATTGCTTAGCTTCAGCCACTGAACTAGATATCCATTGATTGGTATAGTGCTTTGCTTCAGCAACTGAACCAGATATCCATTGATTGGTATAGTGCTTTGCTTCAGCAACTGAACTAGATATCCATTGTTTGGTATGGTGCTTAGCTTCAGCAACTGAACTAGATATCCATTGTTTGGTATAGTGCGTAGCTTCAGCAACTGAACTAGATATCCATTGTTTGGTATAGTGCTTAGCTTCGATTAAAAAAAGGATGGTTGAAGGTTCAGTTTGAGCGTCAAGCTTTTAGCCTGAAATGGCTTTTTTTGAGCTTTTAACGGCATTGTTCTTTTCTTTTTGATGCCGTAAAGAAATCAATTTAATTTTAAACAAATCATTCAGAGATTACAACCTATGTTCATCGATTATCTTTCGCCACATTTACATGTAGTTGATTTTTCATAATATATTTTAATTGTTATGATCTGAGAGTTACTTATAAAAACATTTATTCCTGTTTCGAGGATTTTTGGTAATGAAGACGACATTTTCATATTTTTAGGGTTAATATCTGAATATCTAAGATTAGAAGGGAAGGGGTGGGGTTGACAATTGTATTGGTAGGGTAGGGTTAATATCTGAATATCTAAGATGAAAAGGGAGGGGGTGGGGTTGACAATTGTATTGAGTAGAGAGTAATAGTTTATTTGTAGTTTAGTAAAAAGTATATGTAATTATATAAAATTATGCACTTCAGCTAGTTATGTATAAACAAGTGCTATGCACTTCATCAGCTAGTTATGTATAAACAAGTGCTATGCACTTCAGCTAGTTATGTATAAACAAGTGCTATGAACTTCAGCTAGTTATGTATGAACAAGTGCTTTCAGATAGTTATGTATAAACAAGTGCTATGAACTTCAGCTAGTTATGTATAAACAAGTGCTATGAACTTCAGCTAGTTATGTATAAACAAGTGCTATGAACTTCAGCTAGTTATGTATACACAAGTGCTATGAACTTCAGCTAGTTATGTATAAACAAGTGCTATGAACTTCAGCTAGTTATGTATAAACAAGTGCTATGAACTTCAGCTAATTATGTATAAACAAGTATTGTGCACTTATAAATACAACTTTTTAAAAGAAAAACAAAGTACTTCCTCCCTTCTCTACTCTCTACTCCCTATTCTATTCTATTCTATACAAGTGTGGAGAATTTACAAACATGCATTAAGAAAATAAATAAAATTTGACTTGGATACGACCCCAATACATTCTATTTAAGGCAGTACACAAACATGACATTTTTCTACCGTCATAATTATTTTGAATTCTTTAATGATTTGCTTGAAATTCTTGTTATAGTAAGGTTGCTTGAATGACAAGGTTTGAAGGATGAGCTCCAGGTTGGTTTGTTGAGCTAGAACGGGTTGGGTTTACTCCAGGTTGGTTTGAGGACTGGTGACCAGGCAGAACTAATGTTCTCTCTAAATACTTGCTAATAAGAAATCAGAAACTGTTAAAAAAAAATATTCCAGTTCAGGTCTGTTCATTGTCTCTTTTTAATAATTCCGCAAGCAACTTTAAAACAGCAATCATAGTTGACAAATTTTCAATTTTTATTTAAGAAAACACGGACATCTTTATCAATTTTGGCTAATGTTTAAAAATTACCGTTAACGATAATATGCCTTGTTAAGTAATTACTGAGATAATCCCACTAACAAAGTTTTAAAACTAAGAAACAATGGACGATTAATAACAGTTTAAACATTCTGAACAGTATTTAACATCAAAACAAGAAATTATGATAAAAGCATAAAATAATTCTGCTGCATGCGTGTCAAACTCAATTAGTGCAAAATCCTGCAAAAATGATTTAAAAAGCAACTCCGTAGCAAAATCTATGAGGTTAAAAGAATTCTAATTAGAAAAGATTTAAATGTTTTAGTGGTGGAAGGAAATTGCAAAAAATCGCCATGTTGAAAAAAATGACTGTTTTCAATTGTGTCAGTTTTCAGCTAATTTCGTAAAGGAATTGAGTTGTTGTCACAAACTCTTATAATTATTCCTTATATCTTTGCAACCCAATGTCGTAGAGTTTAGATATTTCAAACTAAGAATTTTTTTAGATAAAATTATTTATGTTTAAAATATCTTCAGGTTGCATAGATATAAGAATTAGAAAATTTAAGTTTGTGGAAAATTCTTCGAAAAAAATAGTAAGGTTAGAGTACTGTAAAACATTAATTTGTATTGTTAAAATGTTTTTCTTAGAACTTTAGAATGCATTTACCTAAAATAATGGGATTTTTATTGTTGATCTGAAGTGATCCAGCCCGATAAACTTAGTTATTACTTGTCTCAAACTCTAATTCATCAGCCAATCCTGACTGTCCTATCAGCTAAACAGCCACTATATCTATCTAACAGCCTACCCAGGCTAATTCTGTCCGTTATACTGAACATTGGTTGGTATTGAATTAATTTATTGATAACAGGTAAAAATGAAGACCGGTTGAACCGGTCAGG